AATTCCTGGAGAAGAGAAATTACAAAAACAATGCAATCTAGAGGCTTAGAAGAGGGAGATTGGAGAGATAGGAAAAGATGGAGGATAAAATGCGGGAAGCGGCAATCGCCGTAGGACCCCGTTATATGATGATGATGATATATGCAGTTCCTTTATAGAGTTCCAAAGCGGAAACCAACTGAAGGAAGCTGGAGAGGTCAAAGACGTCAAGTTATCGACTAATCGAAGGAGCATCATGGGAGGATATCCCAAATGCAACCATCCAGGAAAGGCTCCAGTATACACAACTGAGGGAGGCGGCTGAGAACAGGACAAGGTACTTCTTCCACCAAGCCACAAAAAGACTCCTAAAAACAAAGGATATCCTCGACAGAAATCGAATACAGAAGATGTACAGAACGAAACATAGGCTGATCGACCATCTGACCAGCAATTAGCCAGGTGGTTGCAACGTCGACCAAACAGGAAAGTAGGTACGATGCCCAAAAAAAAGTACCTACAAAAAAAATATTCCCAGGAGTTCATGACAGATAAATCCAAGGTCCGAACGGAAGCAGTTCAACCAGTAGGAGGTGCAGAAGCAGGACGTCAAGAAAGAATTAGAAGACTAATATATTTTAGGTTTTAAATATCTTAAGTGTGAAATGTATTTTTTTTTATTTTTATATATGAGAAAAATAAACAATATGAATAACAGGTTAACAAATAAAGAGAAAAGTAATTAAAGATCCAAATATGTATATTTGATGTAAATTCGATTAATTTGTCGATTGCTCTAATTGGTGGAACGCTTGGTTACGATACACGACACCCACCAAGTATCGAGAGTCCCTTACAATTTAATTAAACTTTAATAATAATAATTTAGGTAACTCATTACGTAACTAAATAAGTGACCAACGGCATAAGGATGTGAAAAGTCACGGGATGACTACCACAATAAAGATCCTTAAGGATATCCCTAGAACAATCATCATGGCAATGATCGCAATGGTAACAAAACCAGTAGCCATTACTGATCACAGAAATCGGAAGCCAAGATCCGACAGGAGAGGAACAAGCGAAATCCCAGTGATGTATTGGGAAAAACATCTATAAGACCAGCCATCCAAGTAAATACACTGAAAAAAATAGGCACTTGGAAAGTGCGGAGTTTGTACCAACAAGGAAACCCCCTAAATTAAAAAAAGAAATGAGACGCTTAAAGATAGATATCCTTGGATGTAGTGAAATCCGATGGCCTAACAGCGGCAGAAGTGTTATATACAACTACGTGTTTTACTATTCCGCATTATAACACACAAAACCGCAATGTAGTAGCATCATCAGCAAAGAAACCGAAAGATCAGTCAAAGGGTTCATAACGATAACGGATAGAATGGTACTATTGAAATTAAACGCTATACCGTGCAACATAAACATCATTGTAGTGTATGTACCAACATCTGATAGCACATCTTCAGGAAGAAGTAAACAGCTTCTATTTAAACAAAACATTCAATGAAACTAAAAAAGAAGAAGTAAATTTGATTTTAGGTGACTTCAACTCGAAGGTAGGGAAAGGAAGAGATGGAGAAGTAGTAGGACTGGAAACACGTATTGAAAGAGGTGAAAGACTAGTTCAGTTTTGCAAAGATAACGAACTCATTATCAAAAACACGTGGTATAAACTCCCAAATCGAAGAATATATACATGGAAAGCACCTAGAGATGATGGTGAAATTATAATATGAGACCAAATAGATTACATAATATTAAACCACAACAGATGTAACCACAATCTAGTTCCAGCTATGAAACTCAAGTTAAAAAAGTTAAAAACAACTGCCAAAACACCGAGAATCAATCTGAGAAAACTAAAAGAAACTGATATATACCAACAAATCAAATAACAAGTGCACAAAGAAGTTCAGGAAGTAGAAAGGCAAAAGCAATTGACAGCAACAGATAAATGGAGGAAAGTAGAGGGAGATTTTGAGATATATCACAAAACAAAAACTTCAAGAAGACACATCATCTAAAAATAAACAATGGATCACACAAGAGGTAAAAGAATTTGTGACGGAAAGAAGGACAAGAAAGAATAAAAACGAACAACAGTACAAAAAAATTAATAAAACAAAAAATCAAAGAAGCTAAGGAACTGTGACTATCAGAAAAGTGAGAAGAAATAGAAAGGTTAGATAAACAACATGACAGTTTTAACATACACCGGAAAATCAAAGAGAGCTGACATATACAAGAAGAAAGATATCGGAAATATCATGGATAAAAATAACAAGATAATAACGGAATGTACAGATAAATAAACTGATGGGAAGAATACATAAAAGAGCTATTCGAAGACGACGAGAAAATTGAGGTCATTGGACCAAGAGGAAGAAATGGGCCACCAATCACCAAAGACGAAATTGGGCAAGCGCTAAAACGTATAAAAAATGAGAAGGCCATAGGACCAGATGAAATACCTACAGAAATCTTTAGAATATTAACAAAAAATCGTATGGGCACACTAATAGAATTATTTAATGACATTTAATATACGGGGGAGATTCCGAAAGAATGGTTAAAATCAATATTCATTCCAATATCCAAAAAATCAAATACAATGAAGTGTGAAGAGCACAGGGCAATTAGCTTGATGAACCATATTCTAAAAGTGTTCTTACGAGTCATACACGAACGTATCTATAAAAAACTAGATGATACAATAGCTGAAAACCAATTGGGATTCAGAAAAGGCTTTGGCACCAGAGAAGCATTATTTACTGTACAAACCCTAATCGAACGATGTCGAGATGTCAATTGCGACGTATTCATATGTCTAGTCGACTTCGAAAAAGCTTTCGACAAAGTACAACACCGAAGAATGGCAAAAATACTGCAGAACACAGAATTAGATGACGAAGATGTGAGAATCATTGACAGTCTATACCGATATCAGAAAGCCATAATACGAATAGACCAACAAAAATCGAAAGAAATACCTATAAATCGTGGAGTAAGTCAAGGATGTGTGCTTTCCCCTTTACTTTTTAATATGTATTCCAAAGAATTGTTAAAGAGGCATTAGAAGACGTAAATGAAGGCATATTTATTAACGGAGCACTTCTGAATAATCTTAGATACGCAGATCACACAATACTCCTTGCGGACAGCTAAGAAGGACTACAGATCTTGATTGATCGCATAACCCAATACTGCGAACGGTATGGAATGGCACTGAATACAAATAAAACAAAAATTATGATGGTAAGCAAGAACAAGATTGAGGAAGACAGTGTTTAAGCTAAAATAAAACTTTTAGGCAGGGTGCACAGATATCAGTACTTAGGTTGCGAACTAAATGAAGAATGGGATAGAAGTACGGAAATAAAACGGTGTATTGAGATAGCTAGAAGTGCTTTTAATAAGATGAAAGCAATATTAAACAAATAAGATGAAATTAGAACTAGAGTATTGCTATGCTAAGTGTTCTCTGTCCTGTTGTATGGAATTGAGGCCTGGACAATTACAGAGGCAACGGAGAAAAGACTCATTAACTTTGAAATGTGGTGTTATCGAATAATGTGGAAAATATCTTGGACACAACACATAACAAATGCGGAAACGTTAAACGGAAAAGAATTAAAAAAAGATAAAGAAATACTCAACACTTATAAAGAAAAGAAAAATGAGCTACTTTGGTCACATAGCTACTAAAAAACGAGAAATATGATTTGATGCTGCTGGTCATGCAAGAGAAGGTGGAAGGCAGAAGATTACCGGGGAGAAGACGCACGTCCTGGTTGAAGAATCTCAGACAAAGGAGTGGAAAAACGTCAATAAAACTTTTGCAGAACGGCTGCAGATAGAGTCAAATGGGCCATGATGATCGCCGATGTCCTTAGGGATGGGGCGAGTTAAGAAGAATATTATTTAATTTAAATAACGTACATAACGATTTGGGGGAGTTTAGGGGATCAAAATATCCACAGAATTTTTATGGAATGCACAAATTTTGGTACTTTCGTTGAACGGCTTTTATAAGACTACTTTTTGTCAATTTTCCTTGTAAAATGTCAAGAAGTTCACGAGATACGCATTGGAAAAAAATCTATTTTTATATTGTAACTTCAAATGGTTATAACTTGTGTGCTCATTTGTACCAAGGTAAGTTGGGTTTAAATCGTTTAGGTAATTTTGTAGTTTAATTTAAAGATGCACGATAATAATTAATAGATTGCCTTCGTTGTTTTGCTTATGAGTGCTAAAAACAAAGTAACAAAAAGATGATTACTCATCTTCCGATGCCGGAGGTATAAATAACACCAAATATTTAGTTATAAATGATTTTTCCTACAGGTACAAATATATTTAAGTAGGTTAGGTAGAAAGAAACAATATATTGTTCACATAAAAAGATTTCCAACTTCCCCACATACCTACAAAAAATACGACTTCTAGGAAATCACTCAAAAGCGCCGGATTTAGATGCATAATGAATAAATTTTAAAATACACATAACATTATCAAATAAAATCACATTTAAAATAATAAACACCATTCCGATCAGGAGCATTTAAAAATGAGAGTAACTTCATATTTAATTAGTTTAAAGAGCGTAAGACAACAGCAAGAATTGTGAATTATGGTATAATATAAGAAGCGAAACGCATATACATTCTGAATACAACCCTGGTTTCAAAATTAGATGCCTCTGCTTCTACCTAAAAACCAGTTTGGTACCGGCTTGTTAGAAAAGAATTTGACAATATGAGGGCCCTAACCTAACATTTTTTGGGCAATTTTTTTAATAAACACGTGTTTACACTTATTTAAATGAAATATATGCTCGAAATCTTATTTAGCCTACAACATTTATCTAAGATTAAACTATATCTTCGTAAATAATGTCTTATTTTGGTAAACATGACACCAACCAACAAGTTTGTCAATGACATTGAAAACATTATACTTAATTGTATTATTTTCGGAATGATAAACATTTAGGTACTTACCATTTAGATTGTCGATGGCTTTATCTGCAGATGATTGATCAGGACAATCAACAAAAGCATATCCTCCACGTTTTATCAAAATAGTGGTACAAGACAAATTCTGTTCGGTGAAGAGTTGCCGGAGAGAATTTTCACTGGTATCATTAGGTAAATTCCCAACATAGAGTTTGCTCATGGTTATGGGAGGAGTTTTACCCGTTGTCGACATGTTAGAGTCTTAAATAATTAAATGATATTACTTAAAATTAACGAAAATCAACAAATAACTTGCGGAAAAGTCTTAAACACCACGTCCGCAACGCTTATAAAGTTTTATGACATGCGCACACTTTGCGTTATGCTTGGAATGCATGCACCCGCACCGGGAAGAACAACACTCTCTAACGATTCTGATTGGACTAGGAATCGACACGTGATTTAATTTTGTTTATTGGAAAATTTAAATTTATGTCATATTACACAAAATAATTTGTGATCAAAGTTACATTTTATATAAAAAAATAATCCGATAATATCTTTCTAATACAATAATATTCTTATCTATACATAGAAATTTAATCAAAATTAAAATCACTGAATTTATCATTGCTTTTACTAACATATAACAACGGCGCCGTGGCTTAGTTGGTTAAAGCGCCTGTCTAGTAAACAGGAGATCACGAGTTCGAATCTCGTCGGGGCCTCAAAACTTTTTTTATTTTTTATGGTTGAATCATTTTTATTAATTTAAGTGTTTTGGTAATTTCGCTTCATTGACAATTTTGCTTTGTTACTATTACCGATTAAAATTTAATAAAACTCTGTGGTCTTGCCATTGAGAGTCATGAAATCACTTACAAATCACTATTATGGACGTACAATGTTTTACATTACATAATAATATGCATTAAATAATATATGTACTTCTTATTTCGGGATAAACCTTCGGGATTTTAAAGCCTTCACTACGATTGTTTAACGCTGTTTCAAACACTAAACTTCCTTCGTTTCGATTGGTCGATGGTCTTTTGTAGTTCTGCGACTAGAAGCGATGGGCCCGTGTCTCTGCTAGATATTTCTTGGTAGATTCACTGTTTTTTTAGAACCCTAAAAAAACTGTTTTTTAGGGTTTTTTGGGGATTTTCTCCAGTTTATAGACTTCAAAATAAATGAAATCTGGGTTTTTTTGTAGATTTAGAAGTAACTGGGCCCTTTAGAACATTGGAAAATTAGGCGAAATACCTTTAAACACCAAAAAACATATTTTTTCGGGGTTTCTAAAGGTTTTTGAGAGGTTTTGCGGAGTTTTGAGATCGATACAAACTCAATTATTTTTTTATTTTTACGTTTTATGTGAATAAAAAAGTACTAACCCTCCTCCCCTAACACCAAAAACGTAATTTTTTCGTTTTTATTATTATTTTTTTCGGCTGGTTGCAATTAATTTAAAATTTTCAAAAAATATACACGCATAGATGAGACTTTTACAAAAATTTGTCTATTTTTATAGACCCGTATGTTGAGTGTACATACGGATAAAAATGCATTTTTTTTTGAAAAAAAAACGTATAACTTAGACTGCAGGTCTAATAAAAAATTATATTCACGATATTTTCAAGATTGTTCTATCAAGTGCACCACTTTCAAAAACCTAAAAAACCATTTTTTAAGATTTTTTTGGAGATTTTCTCCATTTTATAGAGTTCAAAATAGATCAAATCAAGGATATATATATATATATATATATATATATATATATATATATATATATATATATAAAAGAAAAGAATAGAATGGATCAGACAGAAAACGAAGGTCACTGATGTAATCCACCGAATAAAATCTTTAAAATGGCAGTGGGCGGGACATTTAGCAAGAAGAACTGACAATAGATGGTCCACTAGAATTACTATGTGGTATCCAAGAGGCGTCAAGAGACCAAGAAGACGTCCAAATTTAAGATGGGACTATGACATAAGGAAACAAGCCGGTACAACATGGCACAGAAAAGCGAATATTAGACAGTCGTGGGCAGACATGAAGAACGACTATGTAAGGGAGGCTGCACCTTATTGGTAGAATACGCTGATAATGATGATGATGATGATATATATATATTGACTTATGTGTACAGTTCAAATAATAAAAATCTTACAGATCCAGAAAACGGCAGTCCGAATATTGTTGTCAGTTGGGTGTAGTAAATAGTGTTCTGTGTCAGGTGTCTCCTACAGGGAACAACTAAGTAGTAGATATTGTACCCCATATTTACACAGGGTGTCGGAGTCAGCAGGTAACAGTATTCACTTCTCCATGTTGGTTTTACACTTGGACACTCCGACGCGCAGACAATTGAGAGTCTCCATACAAGGTACGGAAATTGCTACCAGACGAAAGGTCTTCTGAATAGCGAGAAACAGCTTCTTTCTATTTGGCCAAGACGAGTTCTTTCTGCTGTATCTTGCAGATGAGTTGATCTGGCCAGAAAGCTTTCCCTCGATTTGAGTCTTTAGGCTGGTAATCGTGGATTGGATGTCGCGAATCTAGAGTTTGTTTTTTTTTAGTTTTATAACTAGCTATTTCTCTTCGGAAATCAGATTGAGAGATACCTACGATAGATAATTCTTGCTAACTCATTTATAGCTACATCTATGTGTAACTCCCAGGTATTTATGAGAAGTGAGAATGTTCAAAGGTTTAATTACGTCATTGAATGTTCGGTTTTCTGAAAGCGTCCCTATTACGAAGATGGACACACCTGAGTCTTTTCGAGGTTTGGCTTAAGATAGTTTGATTCGTATTATGTTGTCATTATGTTGTCTCCACTTCGGCAAAAGTTTTTGCTTGTGTGACAACAGCTGCATCGTCTGTAAATATGAAAGTCCTAGTATCTACTGGTATGGGTTGGTCGTTTATGTAAATGTTACACAATGAAGGTGCCATTACACTGACCTGAGCGAGCCGTTCTTCTATGTTCTCCTTCTACTATTCCTAGCATTAAGAGATACGAAAAATCTTATGTCCTGCAGGAAGACGCAGAAAAGATAAGTGGTTTTTCTGTCTAATGTGATGTTATAGAGTTTTTGGAGAAGTCTCCTGTGATTTTCGGTGTGGTAAGCGGCAGTGAGATCTACAAATACCCGTTCTGATACCTAGTGTCTTTCGTACCCGTCTTCGATATGAGGTTAAGATTTAGTATTTATGATGCACATGATCTTCCCAATCTAAAACCACATTGTTCTTTTATGAGGTTTTCGTCTATTCTGGATGAAATTCTATTAAGGATCCTGATTTTTTAGACTTATATGAAAGCAATCTGATGAAGGAAGAGGAACAGTTTAGAATATGAAACAGTTCATCTCAAATTTAATTTTTGAAGTTTCAGTTTTCTTTCTACCAATCAATGGTAATTTTGACTGTATTAAAATGACAATATATTCCCAGAAAACGGTAGTTTTCATAACATAAACTATAAAACACAATATTTATCATTATTTTTAAGAAATTTAATTTTTATTTAATAATTAAAATGCAATTAAATCATTAATGCTCTCAAGTCAATTAAAAGCAACGTTGTACTAGTTGTTTGACTAATTCTATACTGATTTCTGCGAAATTACTCCGAAGTTTGCCTACTAGCGATTAAAACGATTTTAATAAATTTTTCCCATCATAGAAAGTGGATTTATTAAAGCAAATGGTTTAAATTTGCCGAGAACTGATTACACAGCCTAACAGCCAATTTGGTACTGGAGAAATAAGAACTAAGTTTAAATATTTTTAATGCTCGAATTTCAAAAAAGTCTTCCTTTTTTCGTAGTAACTCTAGTTTTGAGTAACTCTTAGTCTAGATAGCTTTGAAGACAAGCTGATATTTGCCTTTTATAAAGTCAAAAAATGTAACGTCTTTATAAGAGTTTAACTTCTATAGATTTTAGTTGTTTATATTACCTATACTCGGTTCACAATTTGTTAATAGCTCACTACAAGTTTAATCCTAATTAGAGAACTGAAATACAGTGAGGATAGGTAATAAGATATAATAGTAAAAACCAACCTGAAACTGACGATTTAAGATGTTTTCGACTAACCCACCTTGTATCTGCCGGAATACAATACAGCGGTCAAGCTTATAATCCGATTAGGAACGTATTTTGGCCGACCAGTGTCGTAGAGTATATGATTGAAACAATTATTTGAACTAAATAAATATATTTTTTAAATTGTATTTTTGTTTTAATAAAACTTATAATAAAATAAAATATTTTATTCAAAAATAAAGTTTTTTGCCATTTGTAAAAGATACATTTATTTAATTAAGGGGAAAGGCACCAAATGTGTTTTAGATGTATCCATTATTTTCGAATTCGGAGAAAATTAATAAATATTTTTGAAAAATTTAAAAGCAGAATGAAAGATTACATTATTACTGAGGGTATTATATATGTGTATACCGATGTATATTACAGAAAGTCCCTGAAAACTTCTACAATGTTTATTTTATTATGTTATGCAACAGGGGTGAAAATAAAAGAGAGAATATAGTATAATTTTTAATTGAAAATATTGCATGCAAAAGAAACTTTTTATTTATTCTTATAAATATTTTATTCTGCCTTTAAATTTTTCCAAAAAGGCTTTTTAGTTTTCTCAGGATTTGAAAAAAAATCGATACATTTAAAACACATTGAACATTTTGACAGGCGACGTTTTGCTCCTTTCCCCTTTAACACCTTACGATTACAACTACTATCACTTACCTTATATAATTACGATTAGAAAACTATTCAAATTCAAAATAAATAGGATCAACTTCGGAATCCGAGTCGTCTTGAGGGTTAATAATTAGCGGTTGTGTCTCTACGGTCGCATCAATTATGTTATTAAGATCCCACATTTTTTGTTCTTCTTCTATTACATGTCTTACTGCATCTTTCCAGTTTTGTTCTGTAATGTGTTGTAAAGACTCGTATAACAATTCACGTACAGCTTGTATTTTATATGTCGTATTTTTTCTAGTCACATAACTTTTCATTTGTGCCCAAATGAGTTCAATTGGATTTATTTCGCAGTGGTAGGGCGGAAGTCTAAGGACTGTGATGTTTCTCCTTTCCGCCATTTTGTCAACTACGTATTTCTTGAACTTAGATTTGTGTTGCCGGGCAATTTTTAAAAGTTCTGCTTTTACCATTCCATCTTCGTAAGGCAGATACTTATTCCGCAGCCAAA